GGATAATTCATAAAATTGCATGAGATACAACAATAATAATTGATGAAGAGATGAACTGTATTGTTCTGATATGTCCTTCCAGATCTTTATGCAAGCAATCTGGGTAAAACTGAAAAGAAATTTAAAATACCCTAGGCCTGTTTTAAATTACCAATGAAAGTCAGGAAAAAAAATTCCTTTATGTTTTTATCAAGGATATTTCAATGGATTTCATCCTGCAATGCTTTCTATCTTGCTTAAACATGTACAAAATGGAGATTTCATTTTGAATCAACATTTTCAACATTATTTGCAAAACAAAAAATGAAAACAAAAACCCAAACTCATACTATACATTTGGAAAATGGTTTGTGAGTCCATTACAGGGAACTATTTCTGCATATTGGGATATAATAGCAGTTAAACATGAAAGTCTGGGTCTTGCCCCATTTTTATACAATAATGTATACCATTTTAATACAAAATGCACATATAAATTAGTCAAATGTTAAAGCATATTTGAGGAGTACCTTTCCTATTTGCTTTTCAGGACAAATCTCAATATTATTATTATTATCATTAATTCATACATATCTAAAACTTTCTGATTAGTTGCTCAAAGATAAGGCCACACCTCTCACCTTGGGCAAGTCTGAGTTTAAATTAGTTAGTAGTCAAAGTGTAAACTATTTAGTACTCGAAGTGAAGCTACAATGAAATTGTCTTTTTAAATTCTCTCCCAAAGCCATTAGCAGAGAAACTGGGTAAAAAATAAATAAATCTGAACTTCTAGAAGAAATTCTCTATTACTTTAGGGGGGGGGGGGAGAAACTAATATTACTTCTGAAAAAAAAACTCACAAAAGGAGTTTCCTCATTAAAGCTTCTCTTGGGATTAATTTGGGAAACTAGAGCTGATTATAAAATGAAAGAGCAGATTCACACACATCCTTGATTACCTCAACCAAGTTCAAAAATACTACTCTTCATCTCTGAAAGTTTCTCCAAAAGTAACATTATTTTATCTTTTTGAAATAATTTCTACAGCAAATTCTCTTCCATCAAACAAATATGAACTGACCAACAAAGGAACAAGCAATGATGCAGAATTGCTCTGCCCAGCATTAATATAGCTAAAACTTTAGGTCGCATGTGATCCTTGAAGTTTCAGATGTCTCTTGAGAACTTCCTAAAATTGCTATGAGATTTTAATGTTTAATGTGGCAGGACAATGCTATTAAACACATGGAGAATAATCAGGTCATCTATAATTAAGTACATTGAATTAAATTAAATTAAATTTAGCTTTTGTCTTACTGCTATCCATTTTTTTTTACTTTTTGGAATGCATCCTGACATACCATTAAAGCCAAAAATTACTCTGAACCTAAGAAACTTCATAAGTTGTCTTTCTCTACCTTCCACTGATAGCAAGCATTTGTATTTTTCTACTAAAAGAACTAATGGTTTTGTGTTTTGCTCTGGGTGCTATTTTCTGAAGCAGTAATCTTTTAAGTAGTATAGTAAGACATTACTAATTATTAGTTGCTACTGGTTGATTTTCCTCAACTTATTACAATTTTTTTGGCAACAGTTCAAGGTTACAGTGGTATAGAAAAAAGTGACTTACAACCAGACTTATAACTTACAACCATAGCAGTGTTCCCACACTCATGTGATCAGGTTTAGAATGCTTAGCAACCGGCAATGTATTTACAATGTTTGCAGTACCCCGTGATCATGTGACCTTTCCAGCTGGCTTCCAACAAGTAAAGTCAATGGGGGAAGTGAGACTCGCTTAACAACTGTGGCAATAAAGGTTGTAAAATCTGATACAACTAACTTAACAGTCACCTTGCTTAGTGATACAAATTCCAGTCCCAATTGTGATTGTAAGTCAAAGACTACATGTACATCCATTCATGGATGATCCACCATATACAAAAGTAAAACTTGTTGAGCTTTTGATTGATTATGTGGGATCAAGTCATTTTCATTGCTTAGCGACCATATAGAAAGAAGGTCTAGTCACAGGTCTGATCCACAAGTTGCCCTGGTTGACATGAAATACAAATTGCTGGTTCTTGCTTATAAAGCCCTGTGTAGCATATGGACTGGAATACCTGAGAGATCACTTATCTCCAAGTGTTTCTCCCACTTGGTACATTGCATCATTAAATATTGCCTTCTTGTGGGACCTAGAAAGCATGCCTACTCTCTTGCGGCCCCACCATGTGGAATAGCACCTTCCTAAAATTAAGGACCACCACTCTCTATAAAGCTTTGTAAACCTGGTTTTGGTCTCAAGCCTGGGGTTGACATTTATTTTTTGGGCCTTGCTTTGGTTTGTGGACTTTGTGAGCATGTTAGTCTTGCCTGTTGATTTAATATTTTTAGTAGTTTTTATGTCTCTTTCAGTTTTGTATGCCACAGAATCCTCTAGAGATGGATGTCCAATAAATTTAAATAAATTTAAAAGAAATCTCCATGATGCTCTCTCTGTAATCTGTTCTTTCAAATCTCCTAATGGTGCAGTCATGTTCACAGTAACTGAATCCACCCGCATTACAGTAGAGCTCTGTCCAGAGAGCTGAGTCTTCTCATGATGTGTCTGAAGTAGCATAATTTGAGCCTGATCATTTGTACCTTGAGGGAGAATTCTGGGTTGACATTTATTAAGAACCTAATCTTAATATTGTTGACATTTAGTATCACCCACTCTACAGAGTTCCAGGTGGGAATTTTTCCAATGCTCTCTGGAAAAGCTTTGGATTGAGCCTGGACCTTTCTGTTTCAAAATAACTGTTTTCCTACTGATCTTACATTCATACTGATCAAACTAACATCCAAAATTAAGACAATTGAGCCAATAAGTAAGGAGGAACTCCTTAATCTATGCTTAATATATGCTTAATATAGTAACATTGGTGGCTGATACTGGCTTTTCAGTATCTAATGAATTTACCAGAAGAGTTCATAAAATGGGGGTTCTTTTGTTATAATACAATATGCCATTGTATCTATATATAGATAGGAATTGATTTGTGAAATTTGTAAGTTGTTTAATAATCTAATGTAACATAGTTAACAGATATATTTAGATTGGCTTCAACTTCTTTTATAGGTCATTATTATTGAATAACAGGATGTGTTTGCTGAAAGACTGGTAAAATAAAATAGCTTTGACTGACTTCCATGAAAATACTCTTTTTGTAAGGAGATATTTAAAAAGTTTATTTAGATCCTACTATAGACATAATAGATAATGATGAATGAACTCAATACCCTAAGTGATTATTTGTATAAAGGAAGAAAAAAAAAACAATTAAAAGAAAGCAAGTCAGGAGAGAATTTTGGCATTGCTTGATTAATTTGATCAAAGATAAATCTTTTCTAAAAACAAATTCTTGCTTTATAGGAATCAACGTCTTTATCAGATCAGAATGAATACATATACTGACAGGTGCTTCTACTATGTGAAAAAGCTACATCAGAAAACAGTTCATTTGGACAATGATAAACTGCTTTTTAAAATTTGCTTTTAAAATTAGTTACTAGAAGAAACATTAGTTCCAAAACTAAAACATTCCACAGATCTGTTCGAAGTCATTTTCTTTAACCTGGTGCCCCTCCAAATGTGCTAGATTTCTTATTTTACAAAGGACCTTTCGACCAGCTAAGGGCTCCTGGTGTTCTTCCTAATTAGGACTGGATATAGCAAAGTAACCTGACTTTCCATGATCATAACTTCACATATTCTATGATTCCATGTTAAGCACTGAGAACAAAGTTTATTGCAGAAATACCTGCTACATCTAGAAGAAAAAGATGTCTTTTCAAGGGTAGCTAGGAATTATGAGGCCAATCACACCTTCTTGCCTTTCCCCCCCTTATTTGGTTAGATCACGGGTCCCCAACCCCTGAGCCATGGCCTGTTCAAAACCAGGCCATGGGAGAAATAAGCAACCACGGGTGAAGCTTCACTCTCACAAGTGGAAGGCACTTGCTGGTGTGCGTGAAACTTCATGCAAATGGAGCTTCATGCACAAGTGCAAGTACCCTCTGCTCAGGTGCCTTCCGCTTGCGCGAGTGAAGCATCACATGTGAGTGCAAGTGCCTGCCGCTTATGCGAGTGGAACTTCATGCGTGAGCACGAACACTCTCTGCATGAATCTCTATTCATATGAATGGAGGACATGTGCGATTCGCACAAATGGAGCAGTGTGTGTGTGCATCTGCCACGCATAGACACCCCCACACCAGGCCGGGCCACCAGGCTGGAAACGTTGGAGACACTGGGTTAGATCATGGAAGAGTCTATTAAACCACTGAACTGAAGAAGCTTCTTGGATGAGAAGTGAAATGTTTTCAAAGAAAAAAAATAAAAGACAGTTGCCTTTTAGAAAAAACATCTTTGGGACAACCATGACCTGGTTGATTGAGAATCACCGTAGACATTCACTCTATTAAACAGGAACAGATGTTCACAGTGTTTATATATGTTAAATAAATCTATTTCTTTACATTTGATATTCATCAACCTACTCCAGAATTTGGCTATGCACGTTTATGAAATATGGTAAAAAGAGGAATCAAATATATTGTTCATATTGTAAACTGGAAATAAAGCAAAAGGCAAGTTATATCATTTTTAGAGATGCAGTCATCTATAACTTATATATCCCTTACTTATTTTTTAACATTTTTCTTCCTTTTTTGGATTTTCGTGCCACTGAGCAAGTTCTGTCTTTATAGGGCTGTTTTTCTAACTGATTTGTTGACTCTTTTCCTGCTTTTGCAAATCTGTTTTTCTAAGTCTGCTAATATTCCCTGTTGTGTATGGGTTTGACTACATCAGAAGTAGCACAGAGCAACTTCAATGTTCATATATAGAATTAAATATCAAATAGAAATCTCACTGAACTGAACTGGAATTATACTAAGCAAGCACAGAATTAAGTTGCTACTGAAATGAATTTGGAACTTCATGCCTGACATAAATTCCTATTATCTGCATTGTACCTTTTTAGTAAACTTTTGGTTTGAGCTCTGCTAGGCAATTATCTTTCACTGTTGATGTGGGAAGATGGATTATTTTCCAATCAGCAATTCAAGTAAAGAAGCAGCCAGCCAGTCAACCTGTACCATGGAAAAAGAAATGTGTTATGTGTCTGTGTCCTATAACATCTTTAGCAATACAAAAAAGTTTGTCTCCCCCCCCCCCGTCTGATGTTTTAAATGACTTTCTTCAGATCATCTTCTTAGCCAGCAAAGTGTGAAATCCTCTGTTAATTCCTGCAGAATAGAATTTCTACTTCACACAGACCTGAATGATGAGATGGGAATAGATGCAGGCAGGAAACTCCCCACCCTTCACCTACTTTGGCAGTTGTGAATATAACAGGATCATTTCGCTCAAGCCAAGTGAATGCTCTTAATCAATCATAAAGTCATTAAAGGGTAATGAAAGGAAATAACTGATCTGATTTTGGACAACTCCTACATGTGCCCTTGGATGTGAGCAAAAGGCACATTCATGAATTAATTAAGGACAAATCAGCAACCATTTTAACACCCTTTAATGACTACCATTACTACAAGTGAGTTGTAACTCATCTGAGTTACAAGTGAAAATGACAGATAAAAGGTTAGACAAACATTTTCTTTCAGTGCTGGGATCAGGAGTTCCAAACCTATGAAAATTGAAGGAGAGAGTATTTGTTTTAACTCTTGTAGCAAAACAATCTCAATGGAAAAGATATTTTTTTATTTTACTTATTTTTATCCTGTCCTTATTTTTTTTACTATAAATAATTCAAGGCAGTGAACATACCCTAATACTCCTTCCTTTTCCTAGTACTTCCACAACAACAATCCTGTGGGAGATGGGTTGGGTGTAGAGAGAGTAACAGGCCAAAAGGTTTTCCAGTTGACTTTCATGGCTAAGGTGGAAGTAGAACTCACAGTCTTCTGGTTTCTGGCTTGGTGTCTGAACCACCAGAGCAAACCTATATAAATCTTTCCTCTTTATACTTAGATACATTTTATTTATATAGAATAGAATAGAATAGAATAGAATAGAATAGAATAGAATAGAATAGAATAGAACAGAACCTTGGAGGTCTTCTAGTCCAGCTCCCTGCTTAAGCAGGAGAACTCATACCATTTCAGACAAGTGACTATCTAGTCTCTTCTTAAAAACCTCCAGGGAGGTTTTTGAAAACAAGCTGTTCCGCTGGTTAATTGTCCTCACTGCTAGGAAGTTTCTCCTTAATTCCAGGTTGTTTCTCTCTTTGATCAATTTCCAAACAATGTTTCTTTCCTGCCCTCTGGTGCTTTGGTGAATAACCTGACCCCCTCTTCTTTGTGGCAGCCCCTCAAATACTGGAATTTTATTATCTTGTCATCCCTATTTCTTCTTTTCTTTAGACTAACCAAACCCAAGTCCTGTAGCCATTCTTCATATGTTTTAATCTCCAGGCCTTTGATCATTTTAGTTGCTCTTCTCTGAACTTTTTCCAATTTAATCAATTTGTACAGCCGTGCATCCCAAGATGTAATTCTGGGTAGAAGTAAAATTTGAAACACACCATACATCCATAAATTAAAATGCATAACAGCCAAGGAAAACATTACAATCATCAGTGCTTAAAACAGCCAAGAGATAGATTATTTCATACACTTAGGCCCCAGGCTCAGAACCAGATCTTTAGGGACTTGAAAAAGACTAGCAGGATCAGGGACATCCTGACTTCCATAGGTCAGGCACTAATGCAGAAAAAGCACACCTTCTTGGCCTGCTAACTAACATTCCTTAGCTGAAGCATTCTTATCTGGGATCAGATTGGATGGATACGAACAACCAGAGAGAGAGAATCCTTCAAGTTAACATATTTGGGGTGGACAGAAAAAAGACAAAGAAAAAGAATGAACCAAACCTTTAATTAAATCATTTGACCAAATATTTGGGCAAAATAAATATAGTATATCTAGTAAGGATGATGTTGAACTGTTGATGCCCATATTCTTGATTAGATGCTAATTTGGGCAAGAGTTCAATTCACAACTAAACAATTAATTAAAAACATTTTTCTTTTGTTTTCTTCATCTCTACCATGACAACATTCTTAGTTTACTGGGTTGAAAAATAAAGTCCCCTTCAGGTCATGCTGAAGTCCTGGAGCATCACAAACAAACCCATGCAGTTTTCTTGGAAGCTATAAGAAATGGTTATGATTGCTTCTTGTGAAGATTTCTAATTTCCCAGGCCAGTTCACAACCCTGGCATTCATTGGAGGTCTCCAGTTAAAGTTCTCATCTGGCCAAATTCTTGCATAACTTCTCAGCCAAATGAGTCAAGTACAGTCAAACTCAGTCAAGCATACATAAATCAAATGTGCCAGATCATATCTTGTTTCCTTTAATGTTGGTTCTATAACGTTGGCCTCAAAATTTGTTATGTACCCAAATAATATGCCTAGGAAGTTTTATCATCCCAGCCAAGAGGAGGCGAATGTCCAAAAGCACTGTCTTTTTCCTCAATTGCTTTAGCTGCAGCAAGGCAAGTTTCCTGCAGATTGAAATGCAGTTTTTTCATGGTTTCCCATATAGAGCCATTGATTTCTCTTCCTCAGAGAGCAAAATCTTGTGGCTTTAGGAATAAACAATTCAGGATTCACAGCTTAAGTGCCATATAAGCACCTTTTCACCTGATTGATGGGAAGTTTCTCAGGGGGAAAGGTGAAACAAAGACAGACTATAGCTATCAGTTTCCAGCCAGGGCATGAAAAAGTTCCCAGATATTTACTAGGCTGGCAAAGGCAACCAGTAGCCACAATGCTGTCTGGGGTGTCCTTGTATAAGTGACACAAATTAGTTTGCATGGTTCCTTGATACATGTCATTTGTTCACCTTGCTCCCATTTTGTGAATATCTATGAGTGCTAATAATAACAACTTCTGAGGCCTTTTCTTATGGTCTGGGTTCTGGTCAATTACTTCAATTTTAGATTGGTCCAATAGGACTTTTAGGAAGCAAACTTTTTGTACATTCTGATCTTTCTATAGAGAGGAGTTATGCCTTTCTAAATCGGGGGCTCCCACTTTTACCAGAATGAGCTTAATATGTTTTCATTAGATAACAGAAAAAATATCTTCAACCTTTGAAAATCTTCATTATAAACTATCCATATCTCCAATAGGCTGTTTTACTCATTAATAGTTTCATACTCATGAAATCCCTTCTCAATTTGAATTTTGGACTATCTCTGTCCTGTAAAACCTTGTGGTTCTTCTACCCTTCAACATTACAGAGAATAAATCAACACCCTATTCCCTTGACAATTCTTCAAGTATTAGTAGATTAGTATAATGCTCTCTCTATCTTCTCTTCTTTAGACTAAACATATGCAATTCTTTTAACAATTATTCATAGGAAGCCTCTAAACATCTCACCATCTTTTTATCTTCCCTTACTCCTTCCAGTTTCTCAGAATAAGGCATTGTTGTACTGTGGCAATCCAAAATTACATGTAGAACCCACTTTTTACCTCCCTCCATGCAGACAGAGATTCATTAAGAACTAAACACTTGCTAAGGTTGTTTAATCAGCTACAAACTCATCTTGTAGTGCAATTATTCATACCACATTGTTCCACTTTATCAATCATTGCTCTTCATTCTTGATGATCCAAGTATACAACAGCAACCAAAAAACTGAAGCCAAATGGCTATTTAGGAGCCTCATTTAATTTGTATGGATCTTAAAAACACATTTTGAACTAATTCCTAATTCCTAACATAAAATCAATAGACATTTCTTGAATTTTTGCTATTCTACAAAGACGTTGCTTAAGTAGTTAGATTTTAGATTCTTTATGATTATAAATAAAAAATATTTTTAATAAGAATATCTGTTGTGCAAGTGGTGACAAGGTTTAACTTGCCAATTTACATTTTTGCCATCATTGTTTAACTACTAAATGTGTTATATATCTCTCAAGTCTGAACTATGTACCTGTGCATAACAAAGAAAGGAAAATAAGCTTTTGCTTGTGGTAAGCACGAATGCCAAAAGTACAGATTGTATCAATCAATATTATATAAATTACTGATTGGTTAGTCATCACTAATAGAATTTGTATTTATTGAGACTCCTTCTGCTGCTTCTATCATCTCCTAAGAATTTCCAAAAGTATGTTGATTTATAGAATCATAGAATTGTGGAATTAGAAGGAACCAGAAGGAATATTTAATTTGACCCTCTGCAGTGTGCAGGAAAACTAATTAAACCATTCTTGAGAAATTAATTAAACCATTTTTCTTAAAAGTCTCCAGAGATGGAAAACTCACAGCTTCTGTTAGGTAGAGTCTTCCATTATTATACAGATATTATTACCAAGTTTTTCCTTATCTTTAAATGGAATTTAGGTAACTGAAATTTATAATCCCTGGTCCTGGTTTTTATAGAAATGGAAAATAGCTCCTGACATTCTTTCCCAAACACTGATATGAGGTCTCTACTCAGTATGAATGAAGAGCGGATTCTTCTTCACCATGACTAATGATTACATCTAGCAAATATATCACTTGCTTCTCCTAAACAAATACTTCGTTCACTGGAATACTTTTTTTTAATTTGTTTTGCATACTAATATACTACTTTGGATGGTAAATTGTAGTTTAATGTTTGCATCTTCCTTTCCTGTGTGTGAATTTCCAGCAGCTACATGTCAGAAGCTGTTTCTGTGCCATAACCAACTCTTGACTGATTGTGGCCTTTTTTGACTTGTGAGCTTCAACTCCCAGAATTTGTGAGCCATCCTGGGAACTTTGGGAGTTGAAGTCCACAAGTCATAAAAGGGCCAAATTTCCCCACCTCCAGGTTATAGGCCAGTGATGGCGAACCTTTTAGAGATGGAGTGCCTAAAAACCGCTGCTGTCCCCATCCCATCCCACCCGCAGGGCCACCCACTGCCTCCACCGCCTGCTGCAGATCGCCCAGGTGGCCCAGCAACACCATGGTGGCCATACCTCCGCCCGTGCCCTGCATCATCTGTGCATGATGGGGCATGAGGGCAGAGTCTTGTCCCTGATATCTGGCTGCCATGTCCTTGGCTGTGCTCCTCTATGCGGGCCATGCCTAGGGGTGACTCTCCAGAGAGCTGCTGGTGAGGGGGCCGTGGGAGGAGGTGGGGATGGCGCAACAGCGTATGTGCCCACAGAGAGGGCTCTGAGTGCTGCCTCTGGCACCCATGCCACAGGTTCGCCATCACTGTTATAGGCTAACTGGTCTGGAGCGGACAGAATGGCTAACTGGCTGAAGAGGAGCCCCTGGAATTGAGGGTCATTCTGGCTTCTTGGCTTCTAATAGATTGGCATGTGGAGTTCATGACTGGAGAGGTTACTCAGTTTCAGATTGAACACCAACTGCAACTCAAGCTGGACTGATAGGCACTAGCAATAGTAATTTAGATCCTAATCGAAGAGATTAGACTACAATAACCCATACAAGTGTCTGCCTTTAAAGACAGCTTATTTGTTGGTAAGTGACAAGTACTGTAGGCATTTGACAACTATGCTGCAAGCTCTCCTCTGACTTTCACTAGGGTCTGGGTTTAATCTAAAAAGTTTTATATGGTATGGCTTCCATGGACTTCCATGAGTATCTCTTCTAAGTAGAATTGATATGTCTAATTCAGGTAGTCCTCAACTTAGGATCACAACTGAGCTCAGAATTTATGTTGCTAAGCGGGTTTTGCCCCATTTTATGACTTTTCTTGCCATATTTGGTAAGTGAATCACTGCAGTTGTTAAACTAGTAACACGGATGATAAGGGAAACTGGCTTTCCCATTGACTTTCTTTGTCAGAAGGTCGCAAAAGATGATCACATGACCCTGGGACCCTACAACCATCATAAAAATGAACTACTTGTCAAGTATCCGAATGTAAATCACATGACTATGGGAATGCTAAAACAATCATAAGTGTGAAAAATGGTCATAAGTCACTTTTTTCAATGTGGTTGTAACTTTGAATGGTCACTGAATTAACTGTTGTAAGTCAAGGTTTACCTGTATGTTGTTTTTGGTAGAAGTGTTAAAACTCTTTCATTTTTGGGAGATAAAGAAGGCAAGTATCTGGAAACAATATTTATTGTTTTGTGGATTTTATTGTTGCTTCTGCTTCTTTTGGTAATGGATTTTGCTTTATGGAATAACTTCCTCCTCAGAGGCCAAGCTCACCTCTGGTAGTATTCTGAAAATTGGTGAAGATGGAATTGTCTCGTTTGGGCAAGTGAAAAAATGATTATTTGAAATTAGTTATTTCTGTGCTTTATGCTATTGCGATGTGATATGTTTTTGTTTGCTTATATGCCTCTTTGATTGTTTTATTTATTTATTAAATCTATATGCTGCCCATCTCATGATTGAACAATTCTAATTCTGAGCAGTTTATGTACTCTTAAGCTTAGGGGACTGGAGGTTAAAATTTTATAAAGAACAGTTGCTGGAATTGAGTATGTGTAGTTTAATGAAGAGAAGGACTAGAGGTGACATGATAGCAGTCTTCCAATATCTCAGGGGTTGCCACAGAGAAGAGTGAGTCAAGCTATTCTCCAAAGCAACTGAAGGCAGGACAAGAAGCATTGGATGGAAACTAATCAAAGAGAGAAGCAACCTAGAACTAAGGAGAAATTTTGGGACAGCTAGAACAATTAATCAGTGGAAAACCTTGCCCTCAGAAGTTGTGAATGCTCCAACACTGGAAGTTTTAAAGAAGAGACTGGAAAACTATTTGTCTGAAATGGTATAGGTTCTCCTGCTTGAGCAGGGGGCTGGACTAGAAGATCTACAAAGTTCTATTCTATTCTATTCTATTCTATTCTATTCTATTCTATTCTATTCTATTCTATTCTATTCTATTCTATTCTATTCTATTCTATAGATGATCCAATCAGTAACAACTAAATTGTAATTCCATGCCAGAAATTATGAGTTACTGTATATCTTACGTTATTATCTAGCATGAGTCTAGTACATTATTATGATGGTATAAAAATAATCAGTCAATCCATCAGTATAACCCTCACCACAGGCAGTGAAAAACACATGGACCAGCAAACTAATACATTTCATAATATCAGATTTGGTATTAAATGGATTATTTTATATATTTTGTTTCCACAAAACTTTTCTAAGTTTAGTTGCCTTTTGAAAAAGCATATTTGGAACAACCATGACCTGAATGACTGGGAATGTCCATGGACCTACAGCAGAAGTGTACAGCTCTTCTCCACTGAGTCATACACAGTGTCTCAAAGTGGCTTTATTTTATATAGTTGTGACCTTACATCCTATCTGCCTTCGGTGCAATGACATTAAGATGGTATAAGTGAGATTTCCCATATCTGATCTAGCCAGGCTTATATAATTTCAACAAGATTTCAACAAGGGTAGAAATTAAAAATATCATAATCTTTGGGCCATGAGTTGCTCATTTCTCTTATAGCTTACTTATTTAATCAATTTCGTGCCTCAAAAAATGGCTCACTTATTTGCATGTTGCCTGGAGCCTATATGCTATTTCTGCTGGATTCTAAATTATATTTTTTTTCTCCAACTGGAACACAATGACTCAGATTTTACTTGTGGGAAATTTTAGTAGTGGGAGTATTTTGGATAAATTTAAACCCTGTTACATGTGATAAATGAGCTCATGGAAAAAGGAAGAAAAAAACAACAGATTTATGTTTGTAACAGATTTTACCTCAGGGCTGAGACAGTATGTAGAACAGTGTTCAATGGATCTCTTCTAAGCCAATGGTACAGCTGCCTCCAAGTGATAGATGGGACTGGCAGTGCTGTGAGAATTTCAGCCAGAAAATAAGAAATGAGGGGAGAGTGGTGGCAGCCCAAATTAACAATTGCAAAATGATATACGTTTTAAGTTAGGGCTCCAGGCACGCTGGTCACTTCATTTGCAAGGGTGGGTGAGTCAGATATCCATTAAAAAAATCTAATAATATATGCAGCCATCAAACATTGATTGTTGACATAATCTAAATTCCCAACTGATGCAGAAAAGCCTGGAAAATCCACCACCATCCCATTACCTAGTCAGCAGTTTTCCTAAGCTTCTAAATAGAAACCTAGGCAAAGAAGCCTATGTAAACAACTCCCACTGTAAAGGGTCACCTTGCCCAGAGACAATAAAGATGGAGACAGAGAGAGCAGCACTCTTGTCTCTTGTGATTGTTTGGAATACTTTGGGGAAATTCATAGCTAAAATGAGCTTATGCAACTATACTAAAGTAAAGCACAGTTACCTAGAATTCAGCGCATAGCCCTAAAACAACCAATACATCAAAATAGTTGTTATGACATATAGTGTCAGGAAATTCCACAATCCCTTAGCTAGCATATTTTTTAGTCATCGGGACCAAAGGCTATGAAAGCTGAATTACAAAGCAATGCATATGAAAGATATCAAAAGACACATTATGGCTTTGAGTGAATGGTTACCAATTTCTAATATTGCTATATGTGGAGTTGTGAACTGCAAAACTCTAAGCAACCAGTGGATGAAAGCCCCAAATTGCAATTTTCTGCACGTTTTGCTATCACTAGTAGTTCCCTCAATTTCTTCCTTCCATCTCTTCCTTTCCAATCTCACCATCTTTATATAATAACATACTTTCAGAATAAAAGTTAAGGTAACTTTATAATTGATGTTGCTTAGCTTACATTTTGAAAAGCATAGACTAAAATGGCTTAAGGGAAGAAAGATGGGCAATTGGAACCGGCATGGGAGATTATCTCATCAAAATTATAATTGTCATCAGTGAAAAATCATTAAAATTGAAATATAAATTATACTTTTTTATTTGAACAACAAACCCACAAATGTTATTGGTTTCCAATGACAATGTGTTCAACTTACCCCTCATGTCTATTGTGTGAAAGTATGGTAATAATTCTAGACAATGGGAAACACATGGTAATAAAGTAGTATCATTCTCCATGTACTGTATAGTCAGTCAACTCTATTCACAAAGTTGTTATTCCAAAGTTTTTTTTTCAATAGCCAGAGAGAATTGAAGAAGCTTCTTGGATGAGAAGTGAAATGTCTTAAGAAAAAAGAAGTCCAATTGCTTCTTGAAGAAGCACCTTTGGGACAACGTGACCCGGATGAATGAGAATCTTCATAGACATAATGTTGTTATGACATTTGTTATGAAATGACATTTGGGCATAAGCATGAAAACATGCTAAAAGAGGTGAAATCTCAAAACTTTTCATTATGTTTCTGATTTTTTTTAAAAAAAATTGAGTGATGACTTTAATGGAAGTGGGAGAGTCTACCTATCTAAAATAAAGATTTCTATTTTTTTTCAAAGTTAAATGGCAGTTTATTACCAATTTTTGGTGGCATAGTCACAGTCATGAGGGTTCTCCATGAAGCACAACATGGCATCTCAGGAATAGCCATCCTCACAAAATAAAGAACAGATTCAGATTAAAATCTGACATTGAGTTTCCTATGACTCTGCCTTATTCTAAACAGCAATTAAAAATGTTGACATTTTATAGAAGTATGGATTTCAAATGAAAGAGCATTCAGCTATTGCCATGATGACTTGGAATTCTGGGAAGCATAGAAAGATAACGAAGGCAATAAAGTTAGATAACAAAACATGGACTGGTTGGTAACATATCAGGTCATCCATGAGTCTGGTTGGTCAGTTTGAATTTCCATCCTAGGAAGTTATTCTCTCTACTGGAATACCCCCTTCCCCTTAAACTATAGTAAGATATATACAATTTAATTTAGCATAATATATAGATGATTTGTGACTTGAAACTGTCTGGGTTTGCACCATTATAATGCCATTTCTTTGTTAACACTGTAAACAGGAAGTCTCTCTGATAATCCTGAGATATTACAGATGCCCAAGGAAATTCATGAAATTGATTCAGCTACTCCACAAAAGAATGTCAGGGCCAGTTCTTTACAACAGTGATATATTAGCTTCATTTTCCATTTCCAATGAGGTAAAACAGGATTGTGTGCTAGCCCAATCCTATTCAATGTGTTCTTCACTTTGCATGTTGTTAGGTGCTGTCCAGGGTCTGAAGGAGGGTGTGTACATCGGGGTACCAATTGAATAGCTCTATCTTAGATCTTCTTTGCTTCCTTGCCTCCATATATACCATATATGCTGGTGTATAAGACGACTTCCGGAAGCGCTAAACTTGGCACCAAAGACGGGGGTCGTCTTATACGCCGAGTCATCTTATATGCCGGAAATACTGGTAGTTTCCGGCGTATAAGATGACGTTCTAGTAATGCGGCTCGGCGATAAAGACGGGGGTCGTCTTATACACCGGGTCACCTAATACGCCGGCATATACGGTAGTTATTCAAAAAAACTCTTTGTTGATGGCTGTACACTTTTGGTGCACAATGACAGTGACCTATAGTTGGTGTTTATCAAATTCTTAGATGCTGCTATCCTCTTAGGTCTATTTACCTGAACAAGACTGAAATACTTTACCAGCCAATGTGAAATATCTAGAACTAAAAACACTGTTGATGACACCCAGCTGACAAATGTAAACAGTTTCAACTACTTGGGAAGGATCATCTTGAGCATTTCTATTCCATGATGAACTGCACAACAGTGTGTCTTCAAACCTGAAAGACTACCATATATACTTTAGTATGAAGTGCAAACAGATAGTATGATTTGTAACTTATGGCTTAGAGCTTAAAGGCCACAATTTAGCATGCTTTACCAACCCAGCCACAAAGTAATAGAATCTAGACATGCTGCCTCTTTCTAGTAAAATGTTTCTAGTAATAAATGAGGTTGGATTAAAAAGTAAATCCTCCAATATTAAGGGATATTACCTTCAATTGAACTTCACTACTAGATGCAGGTTGTACTATGATGATAACTGTGTGGATGTGAATACTGTGCTTCACTGGAGCAAAAAATGCAGTGATGATGAACAGAAAAGAGTTGATTCATATGATAAAGAATCAAGTGGTTAACTTGTGACCAAAAATTTCCAGATGAAAAGTGAATTTTGATGAATTAAGGAAATTAGCAGATGTTTTGGAAGGAAGTGGCTATCAATGCTGGCATTTCCTAACAGATTTCGAAGTTGTTGACAAGGTAAAATATTTGGGGGTTACATTATCTGCTTCTAATGTAAAATTGTATAAAAACAATTATGAAAAGTTGTGGATCAGGGTACAGAAGGATTTAAAGAATTGGGATAAATTACAGTTATCTCTTATGGGTAGAATTGCAGTTATTAAAATGAACGTTCTACCAAAATTTCTTTTTTTGTTTCAAATGTTACCTATCTTAAAGAATGAGCTTAATCTAAATGAATGGCAGAAAGGTATTAACAAATTTATTTGGGCAGGGAAAAAACCAAGGGTAAAACTTAAAATTATGCAAGATTTTCGTGAGAGAGGTGGACTCAAGGTACCAAATTTGAAATTATATTATGATGCTGTGGTTTTAATATTGACTAGCGACTGGGTGAATTTAACAAATGTAGAAATACTCCATTTGGAGGGTTGGGATTTACTTTTTGGATGGCATGCCTATTTAATTTTTAACAAAAAAGTAGATTGGGTTTTTAAATCTCATATCATAAGGATTTCTTTACTCCGGGTATGGAGGAAATATTATAAAAGTGATTTCAAAATACCATTATGGGCTATACCTTGGCATGCGATAGAGGGGATAAGGAGAGGAGTTAAGATGGATAGGATTTCTTATAAACAATTACTTAGATGGGATGGTCAAAATTGGCAGTTAAAATCTTCGGAAGATTTAGTACACGAAAACATTACTTATTCATGGTTTCAATATAGACAAATAGTGGATAGGTGGAAGACGGATCGTAATATAGGTTGGCTTAGAGAAGATGAAAATCTTTTTAAACAAGTAAGGGATCAAAGACAAACTCATATTAAGAGGGTTTATGGGGTTTTAGTGGAAATGGATTCAGAATCTGAATTAATCAAAGATTGTATGATTTAATGGGCACAAAATATTGGTGAACCAATCCCACTGGATACTTGGGAACTTATATGGGTGAGGAATGTTAAATTTACACAAGCGCAAAATTTAAGGGAGAATTTTTATAAAATGTTTTACAGATGGCACCTTGATCCACAAAAAATGTCTATTATGTACCCTGATCTACAGCCTAAATGTTGGAGATGTGGTTGTTTAGATGCCACTTATTATTATATTTGGTGGTCGTGCAAAAATATAAAAGCCTTCTGGATTAAGATATGGTGGAATATTCAAAGAATCTTTAAAAGGAGGGTAAAATTTACCCCGCAATTATTCTTATTAGGTATTGTTACTGACTGTGATGCTAAGGAAGTTATATTGATGTTAAATTTGATCACAGCCGCAAGGCTGTTAGTAGGACAATATTGGAAGAAGGAATCTTTGCCTACTTTACAAGAGTGGTTTTACAAAGTTTCTTACTTGGCGGAAATGGCAAAGATTTCGGCTTTCTTAAGGAGCAATCACAAGAGAAATTTTTTGTTGTATGGGAAAAATGGATAAATTTTATACAACATAATTTGGATATGAAAAAATATTATTTAGCTTTTTTATAACTTGTATAAATTTTTTTTTGATATTGTATAGATTGTTTTTTTCTTTTTTCTTTATTTTTGTCTTTTGTTTTCTTTTTTTTCTATTTTTTCTTTCTCTCTCTCTTTCCTCTCTTTTTTCTCTTTTTTTAAGTATTTTTTTTTATTAACGCTTATGTTATATTATTCTATTATGAACTATTTTATAAGTTGTAAGATTTTGTTTAGGTT